CATAGATTTAGGTCTGTATATTGTTTCAGTGTGCAAATTTTCATTATAATGTGATGATTAATACTAACAAAATTAGTGGAAAGCTGAGAAGTAAATTATTATGCAAATTAGGTAAATATTATAGATGTATATAAGCCTAAAACTAATTTGATCATCACATTGTGTTAGAGTACATATGTACCAAGATATGCCAAGCACTGTCACAGACCATCTATGTACAAATTTTCATTCAAATGTGAACCAAAAATTATGATTTATTACGCAAATTAGGTAATTAATATGATCTGATTTTAATTAAAAACTGTACCAAGTTTCATTGAAATGGAATAATTAGTACATGTGATATCAGCGTAAAAGCAGAAAATTTGCTAATTATGCAAATTAGGTAATTCATATGCACTGATTTTAACCCCAAACTAATCAGGTCTGTGCATTATCCTAGAACATCTATGTACCAAGATTCATTGAAATGGAATAATAAGTACTTGCGATATCAGAGTAAAAGCCAAAAATTAACTAATTATGCAAATTAGTTGATTAATGTGCACACAATTTTACTTAAAATTAATCAGGTCTTTGCATAGTTCTAGAGCATCTATGTACCAAGTTTCATTGAAAAGTAATGATGTAGTAGTACCTGAAATATCAAAAGCTGAAAATTGATTAATTATGCAAATTAGGTAATTATTATTTCACTTATCTGACTCTACTTCGTCATATGTATCATTCATGTAAGTTGCATTGAAATGTGATGATTAGTACTTGAGATATCAGTGGAAAAGCCGAAAATTGACTGATTATTATGCAAATTAGGTTAATAATATGCATGGATTTTTACCCAAAACTAATCACATCTGTGCATTAGTCCAGAGCATCTATGTACCAAGTTTCATCAAAATTTAATGAATTGTTCTTTATCAATGGAACAGTCAAGGAACAGCTAAAAATTAGCTAATTATCATGCAAATCAGGTAATTAATATGCATGGATTTCAACCAAAACGCATTAGCATTAGCCCAGAGCATCTATACACCAAGTTTCATTAAAAACCAACATACGGTACTTGAGATATCAGTGGAACGGACACACACACACACACACACACACACACACATACACATACACACACACACACATACTTGTATAGCAATACGTTCCGAGGACTTCATTGGATTAACTTTTAATATAGTTGAATTAACTTTTAATATAGTTGCGATATGAACTCGATTAAAACGCGTTCCTATATAGGGTTGCGTTTTAATTGGAGTTTAATTAAACTCAATTACAATGCAATACAATGGAGTTGAATATCCGGTGACTGAACATAGAAATGTTTGCGAAGCTTAGGTTTAGTATCGGGGTAAGGTATGGTACAATTATATTAATATTAATATAACGTGAACCATACCTTCCCCCAATACTAAACCTAAGCTACGCAAAACGTATTAATAATCGAATTAACTATTAATATAAATTATGTTTTCCGAGGACTATGAAAATAGTCCTCGGAAGGTGTGTATGTCCTCGTAAGTAGGTATATATCTGTATTTTTGTCCTCACAACATATAGCAATCCAAATACACACACACGCACATACAGACAGGGTAACTGCAAAGACTCCCATTTTTTACTTCGCACACGGGAGTCAAAAACAAGCCGGGTACCATCGACCTATCAGGTCATCACCCCGATATTCTACAACTTTGACCGTGCCACGAACTGCCATATTCCTAAACGTAAGACAATAATTTATTATTGTCATTTGATTGGTTTCGCTCACATGTATATATTTCCAACCAAAAATGTGCAACCTATTATGTATATGTACACAGACGCAATCATTCAAAATATGAAACACGTCACATAAATCTATACGGCTGCAAATAGTGGATCGAAATGAAATGCCCACAGGTACATTAATATCAACCTGTATGGCATTATTACATGTATCCCACTACTGACCATAATGATTATATCAAGGTTACGTGTATTGTTTCTTAGCTAGTGCTTATTTCCCCATCATAACTTTTTCCCATGACAATGCATATGTTTTTGTAATATAACATGATACACTAAATTGAGCGAAAGTCTTTATTCAATGTATCAAAGCATACAACTAGTAGCATATGTGAATACCGAACATGGTTTTATGAATTAAATATACTAAGTCTGCTTATTGCTGTATAATATGATGTACCGATCGTTCCCAGATAGCATGTGTTTTTCTGTCGCTCTGAAAAATATAAACAACATTAATTTTATTAGACTTTTTTTTGCATTTTGGGCTCAAAATGCCAAAACACACACGGCATCAACTTCCTCTCCAAAGGAAGCCTAACTGTGATATAATTCCGTAGAAATGCCTGCGTTCAATAACAAATGTTATCTAAATATAAAATTCAGTGTTTATCTGAATACATATATAATTTGGATGATCTATTTTGCGAATGCCGAATTACATTCCTAGGACAAACGCAGTCATGAATACAGTATCGGTGGAAAGTAAGTAAATTTGCATACGGTTCGCCATTTTATCGAATATTATGGAATTCGATTTGTTAGAAACACAATGATTTTAGTAGACTTCCATTAATGTATCCCATATTAAACAGATCATACCTTTTATATGAACTTTATTGTTGTTTAGTTTGCTAAAACTTTACAAACAAATGACAATCTGACGCTGCAGTTTTCGTCATTCCATCGGTGTGCTGGTGAAGAGAACAGCATAAATTAAACTCACAGTAACTGACCATTATGCTAAAAAGGCATACCTATGCGTCGCAAGGTAATTAGTTTCCAATACTGGTGGATCTATTGGCGTGACACAACATTTCAAAATAAAAATATAATATTGCCCAAATAGAGCCAGTCAATTTATGTTTCATAACTGATATTAGCAGTAAACACTGCAATAAACGTTCTCATGTTGCTAATTACTAGCTATTGAAACGTATTTCGTTGTGTGCGTCTATTTGCCTGTAAAGCTTAAGTGACTTTCCCGGTCCGGTACCTCAAGCAGACGAGATATAGAGACAGACGATATTCCCCCCTGACACGTGTTGGAGAAACCCCGAGTCCGGAGAAGAATTTCCCCCTGATACAGAATCGAATCGTCTGATGCTGTATTGGCGTTAATACTTCAACACCATGGTATCCAGAATGTGACATATCCGGTTATGTGGAATTGTTACTGAACATAATGTGATAAACTTGATGATAAGAATGTTATTAGTACGACAATAAATTTCTGTTTGACAATAAAACATGTGCCCATAATAGTATTACAGCAAAATACTCGAAAATAGTTCTTCGATGTATATGATACTTACATAAACCGAAATTAGCATGAGTGCAATCTTCCTGATTGGTATTGTTAGGCTCACCACATCCCCAATTAGACCAAACGAAAGAACTATGATCCGTCCAAACAAAATCTCCATTCTAAGTACAATTGGTATACGAATGATTAACGTTACAATTAACGAATTGGTATTGATATTATTTGCAAAAAAGCACAAGTTTCCATGTGAGGTGAGGGGCAAACCAGTTATTCATATGAAAGGCATATATTGAGGCATGGATATTCAAAGTTTTCATTATAGTAAGCACACATGTGAACATTTGTTTTCTATTTATTGTTCTACCTACGCTTGTAAGAAAGTCACAGAGATATTATGACTTAGTATTTTCGATTTGAACAAACATTGGTGATTTTATTTTTCCGGGAGTCATTCCAAAGATATTAGAGGTAGAAAATTAAATAAATGAAACTTGTGGATGGTTTATAATGAGATTGTTAGGAATGGCTGTTCTTGACAGAAGAACAAGCATTGACTTTGGTGGAGATGCGGGCCCGGTAGTTCGGTAACTATGAAGTGCGTATCGCTTCCCATGAAATTACATTTGGCACAGGTATGTGGATTGGCTTTAAATGATTACTCCTAGCAAAACAACTATAATTGCCATCATTGTTCAGGAATGGATTTCCCCAGACAAAAAACTATAATTAATATTTCTAAGCAGGTCTCGTATCGACTGACGTAGTACAGAACTCTCTGCGTGATGACATCTTCGCTTTAGAAGCTAGAGTTCTCACCACAGGAAGTGTCATATCAACTAAATTTATAAATGATATTTCAATAACAGGAAACTTTTGCTGTCATTTCTTATGCACTGTTCCATTTGCAACTTTATGAACAAAGCCGACACGTATTACTCGAAGCCAACGAAATTTACAGCGCCCTTGAAATCGCCAAATTGAAGGAATACCTTGTATTATTCAACTGGATTATATCCCATTTCCGATTATGAGTTGTGACCGTAGTGACTGGCAATTCTGATGTTTTGAGAGAAACACTACCTGATAAATGACGGGTAATTGAATTGTGCACGTCACTAGATTTGTTTACTGTAAATATTACTTGACATTGCAACGAATAAATATGAATCCCTAATGACATTTCTATCCCACGTTATTCGTATTACACAGACGTGTTTAATAATAATGGTTACTTTGTGGTGTTATTTTATGCGTGTGTTATTAATACAATGTTTGTACGACGCCTTCCATTACTTCACATTATTAAGTATTGCGAGAACTCGCACACGGGGCAATACTTCTTGGTGAAGAAATGCCTCTATTCAATACTCTTGTAACAATTATATATGCTTCGTAGTGGATAATATAATGTATGTCTTTTTCCCTACCCAACCTATGTCATTAAGTCCAATCCAGTAATAGTTACTCATGCCAACCACTACATCGCGAATAAAACCATCTTCTGATAGAGAATGAATTGACGCCAAAGAACACGCTGCCGCAAGGGTTCCACAGTAAGAATCAGCATCATTGAAAGTTAACAGATTCGAAAAGTATCTATAACAATAACCAGTCTTATCCCAGTACACAAATCCGCTGGGACAGATTTCTATAAAAAACATTATATCATCATATCATATCGTGCGCAACTGATATTAGTTTTAGTTTGTTATTGTTATTGTTATTTGTTATTTGGCATTATCGAAACCTTACTCCAGTCGATTTCATACTGACGTGAGGCTACTTCGATTAAGATTCCTCAAATGAGATTCAAATAAAATAAAATAAATGTCAGGTTATCTTACCGATCTATTGTTTATGGTTAACGAAGTAACGCGAACCTACCTTGACCCAATACTAGGTTTATACTCAGCACACATGTTACTATAAGAAGGGTCTTCATCTCTGTCCACTATTTGCTGAGTAAAAAAAAATATTTCTGACATCAATAAAAAACGTCACCACACTGTTTACAATAACAATAATTACTACAATCACAAATATGCATGCTATGTACGTTATATTGTTGGATTGAAACACAGCAATGAATAATCGTTTGATCAGGTAGTATATGAATATATATTGAAATGAACATCCCATATGGTAAAAACATATTTAGTTCGTCAACGCAACGTGAACTGTGACCTCTTGCTACGTGTTCCACAGTATACTGATGGAGCGTAATTGCGTTGCGTTTTAATAATGATTAGAGAAACAGTTACATGAAAAAGGCTATGCTAGCTCCTTTGGGCAGAAAGCAGAGACACGGGAAAATATTGATGTGTTTTTTTCTAAAAAATAGCTACATCAAAGCTAGGTCGGTCTAGAAAACATCAAAATTAGGTCACGATCAGTGACCTAAGAATCAAATAACAATCATATAATTTCGAGTGAAAACGGGCCACATGCTCTGAAAAAATCGAACATTGCTTGACATGTATAAATAACTTATTGGGCTTCAGGAACAAATAAAGTAGTGTTAAATTTAGTGGTAGCCGTAAATCGTTAGTGCCGGTCGATGAACATTTTGTAAATCATGATACACAGAAGACGTTCTGCACTGAAAAACATTTACTCTAGTCTGGTTGACCTTATTTTCTCAACTTGCACAAAAAACTAATTCAGTCGACTTCTGTTTGAACTAAGGTCAAATCCTATCCTATATTGACACTGTGTTTGAATAGTATAACAACCATTCAATTTATTTTAAATGAGCTTTGTTACAACATAATTGATTGCCCGATAGAGTCTCGAAACTATATTTGTCTGTATTGTCTACAGGAGAAAACCTCACCCACATTTTCAACCATTGTTAGCACTGAAGTTGCCAGCAAATAACCAGTTGAATTCAACAAGCGGTTAAAAATCGGGTAAAAAAGGCGAAAGCGTGCGGAGGTTTGGATGAAAATGGCACTGTATATTCGGTCGGAAGATATTTGAAGATATAAGACCATTGAAAATCTATCATTCGCCAAAGACTAAAAAATGCAGTTTTGAATATTGACACTGTTTATTTTTTAATAAACAAAACAAAAAATGTACGCTACTTGCGACGATCGATCATAACAGACTCTTTTTGCAAGTTGTAGCTGCTACATTCTGTTAAAGACAGATTTTCTTAGTTATTGCCTAGATAATATACTACATTACTAAAAAACGGAAAGAGCAAAAACAAAACAAAACAACAGCAATTGGTTATGTAAAATCCGTTAATATTCATGTTGGTCTAATCAGTACAATTCGGTAGAATTCAGTGAACACGTCCCGTGATCGGGTGGGCATAATGTGTTGTGCCTTGTATATTTTTATTAGTTTACAATACAATAGAGAGCCGCCTCTCGTCTGGATACACATTCTAAAATTATTAAATATAGTATTCAATTATCAAATTACAATACGATTAATAAACATAATTTTGCAATTTTGTAGTAACAATCGATAAAATATTTCAAACAAACAAAATGAGTTTGACTATCACCTTCTATTCCATCTATTGCCAATACAAAGTCATTGGGTAGAATTTATTACATGAAGTGTGTTACGCCGACAACATGTGCATTCAGTGACATGTGTAAGTTATACGAATTAAGAAATAGAATATGTGTGAAGTAATAACAATAACAATCAATAACTACAATATTAAGTCACATATTTAGTGCAAAATCTATGGAACCGTATGAATACATTATAAGAAGTAAAATGTATACCATTACTGGAACATGAATATCATATTTACCTTCTGTGACACAGACGTAGTGGGAATGGTTCTCACTGGAAATATGTGTGTCATTTATCTGTGCATGTGACATGACTGATCGATATTATCAAAATATGCATACGTTTAATGACAGTTTATGTCATTTAAGGCAAGCGTGGATCCAAAATTTTCAAACAAATTGGTTTAACAAAGACTGTAACACGAAATTTGTCGTTATATTTACCCGGCAACTCAAATAAAAACACTGATACGACAATATTGTAGCCTATAAAAATCCTTAATAAAAAGAACATAACTAATAGTGAAAAACACAAGAATGTAGCAATGATTTCAATAATACACTTGGTATTATCGGATGGGATACATTACAGCTGTATAGAATGATAATACTAATATAATCTTATCAAAATTAGTTCAT